GGAGATTTTTCGGATAAAACAGCAGCACGACACGCACAATAGCACTGTCGACAGTTCAACAGGACAACAGCTCGGCAAGCGCCAGAAGAGGGCGGTGAGCGGCAGGCTCCAAGGGGCCCCGCGATCAACCGAGGATGGCGAGGCTGGCAGAGTAGCAATGTGCCACCGAGTGTGAGTTCAGAGCTGAAAGACGAAGTATCGCTAAAAGACTTTTATTCTACATCGAGTGCCAGCTCCCAGCTGCAGCGCAACCACCACCAAGCATTGTGCCGACTTGGCTCATCCAGCAAAAGAGTCAGCGAACCAGCGAAGAGCGCGTTCGAGAATCTCCACAGAGAGAGCGCGTGTGGCGCAGCTACTACAGCAGTGGAAGGAGGAGACTGCTGCTGCCAGCGAACCAGCGGCGAGCGTGATCATGCGCATCTCCACGGAGAGAGTGCATGCGGCGCAGCTCATCATCCAGCGGCGGAGAAAACCATCAGTCAACGTCCAACGCCGAGCAATAGAGGGAACCAGCCGTTGTTCGTATACCCCTCCCCCACTTTCACAAACCCATGACGCTTACGTCGTCTGCTCATACAATAATTTACCAAAGAGACAATCCACCGCACCCACACAATATTAAGACTAATTATAAAGGGCATTAAAATATCAACTGATCGTGAAGAACATTGCTACCCATTGAGTTACGTGGATCAGGTCATTATTAAGTATCTCAGTCGTTCGTTTTTTTGTTTTCTTTTTAATGGCATAATCTTGCCGATGAATCCATTGACGTATACTTTTGCCTTTGAGGAATAATCATTGTTTTGACTGCTTTTTTCGCATGAATATTGTCGGATGAATTTTTAAGGACTTTTTATTCATATTTTCCATATGCTCGTGGTACCCAGAGGAAGTAATCAATTGTTCCGCTACCAAATTAACAACGTGATTATTAAGGGTTTAAGAGATGGATCAATGAAATGAACATTGCCTGTAGTACTGTGTTGACAATTTCAAGTATAATAATTCATATCATAGAGTTAAGGTTTGGTTTAGAAATTAAAATTGCTTAGCACAAAAGTGTCTGGGTGTTTCTTTCAAGCATAAGAATCTTATTTATAAGAACTGTATTCTGCGTTGAGATTTGAATTTGGAGACCTGACATAAACACACTAACACATACTCTGTAAATGTTAAAGCTCAACTAATTGTATTACCAAGTGTTAGAACGAACCTAGGAATTCGATGCCGAGCTTACGCTGGCATTCTTGCATCACACTGGAATAACTTCATACGATTAATTGTATGTTCCCGATTGATAATCCGACCCTCGTCAGCGAGGCGGGGCCTAATTATCCTAACGGCTTACATTATCATAACCATACGCACTCGCATAAATTAGCATGCTTTATGCGCATAATTACATCAATTAACATAATTTTGGATAATTACGCTAATTCCAAATTTCATTTATTTTTTTATTATTTTCATCAAAATTTTCACAACCAACATATACAACAGTAGCCACCTTTCTTAACTTAACTAACACACGGAGATACTACATTACTGGACCAGGACAGCCCAACATGCTGCCTGGTCCACTAGCCGAGACCGGAGAGCTTCATCCCAGAGATGACCCAGCAGCACAACAGAACAGCCCAACTTTCCATCTACACCCCGCTTATAACCACTCCGGCATGGCTGGCTCCGCCCCAGGCCATGCCCCCCTTCCCGATCCTTCGGGAAGGCCCGAAGCCCAATCACGTGACTCCCCTGGGGCCCCTGGCCCCCCTTTATCTGGTCACGTGTCCTGTTGGGTTCACGCAGAGTGTCAAGTCCCAACACGACTCCCGTGACACCTGCCTACAGCCCCCATACCGAGCCAATACAGTAGTGTCGTTTTGCTACACTACACAGGCATCAGGGTTGGCATCGAACCCACCACCTCCTGTTTCGCAGGCAAGGCAGATGACATCTCACCGTTCTGGTGCCTTGTCCACCCACTCCTCAGATAGCCTCGCCCACGACCCGGATACCACCGCTCATTACTCAGGTGGCCCCATCCACTACTCCAGTAGCCCTGCCCACTGCTCAGGTAGCCCTGCCCACTGCTCAGGTAGCCCCACCCACTTCGCAGGTAGCTCCACCCACTACTTAGGTAGCCCCGCCCACTGCCTAGGTAGCTCCAACCACTACTCAGGTAGCCACACCTACTACTTAGGTAGCTCCGCCCACTGCTCACGTATGCCCACCCACGGCTCAGGTAGTCCCACCCACTACTTAGGTAGCTCTGCCCACTGCTCAGATAGCTCCACCCACTACTCAGGTAGCCCCACTCACTACTCAGGTAGCCCCACCCACAACTTAGGAAGCCCTGCGCACGTTTGAGCTCCTCGTGAAATCAGTTCCCTGCAGCGCTTGCTCCCCCAGCCTCCATCGCTGCACTGGGGCTACTGCCCCCATCACTGTGAGGGGTTCACTTGGAGCGGGGTTGAGAGGGGATGCTCAGAGAGTGAGTGGAGTCTCCCCTGGTGACGTCTCTCACAGAAACAAGTGGGAGAGGAGACGCAGGCGGTGGAGGAGAAGAGGAGGGAGGCGGAGGAGTCCGTGAGGCAGATGGAGGCCGCTCGCAGGGACGTGCAGGTACCACGTCTGGGCCGGACTCGGTGACCCGTGACTCCACCCTGAGTAGGGTTTGTGATGGAGGACAACTCTATTCATTCACGTGGACTTCCATTGACTCTAAACACATTGTGGGACTAAAGACACAACGGTCAATACGCCTCAATAATCAGGACCCGCAAAGAGGTGGTTCTCATCTCCACTGAGAAACTGAAGCAGTGGTGGAAATTCCACATTCCCATATCTCCATACAACGTACCTCTTATCCAATACTCTGGTGGCAGAGTTGGTGGATCCCACACAGACTGTTGTACACCATCTTACTGAAACCAATCAGGTTTTAGGGTGGCCAGGTGGCAGTATAGCAAGTGGTTTCATGATCCTCTCTTTTCATCCATACTTACGTGGTTTTCACTAACATGCAAAACATTAATTTAAAGAAGAATTAGCCTAAATTCCCAATGATACTCTTTGGTTCTTTCGGTAAAGTCACGTAGGTAGAAATAAAATAGAAATAAAACAAATCACGACGTTTCGACTGCAACACAAGCAGCCGTGATCGGGTGAGAATCACATAGAGAGGGAACACACAGAGGGACACCACACACAGAGACATACACACATGGAGATACAAGGACACACAGAGACAAGCCGTGTGTGTGAGAGAGCGAAACACGTACACTGAGGATGGGAACTTATATAGGCTGTAGAGAAGGGGGAAGGGGGCAGGGAAAAGTCATAGACATGTAGATCGAGGAAGAGGACGTTGGTAAAGAACACCGAAAACGACAAACTGCAAGGAGGTAAAGACAGCAAGAAGATAGGAGATGCGAACCTAGCCAAATTTAGAAATATAATGCGATGCAACCCAGAGTCGGTCAACACCACAGTTAAACACTAAAACTGGTTGATGACGTATTTCAACAGATTGCTAAAAATAAATTTCATCCATCTTCTAGGTTGTGTGTATGTCTCTTTGTCCCTCTTTGTGTGGTGTCCCTCTGTGTGATTCTCACCTGATGACGGCTGCTTGTGTTGTGATTTGTTTTATTTTATTTCTATCTACGTGACTTTACCGAAATAACCAAAGAGTATGATATTCCTGCAGTCACGAAAGCTTCAATTCTAGATTAATCCACTTCTACGGAGAGGTTTTCCTTGAATGTCTATTCACGAGTCCTTGTCCTCTATGTACAATGGTCCTCCTTGCAGTTTGTCGTTCTCGGTGGGTCTTGCCAATGTCCTCCTCTATGTACATTGGTATGTTCATGTCTATTACTTTTCCCTGCCCCCTTCTCTTTCCTCCATCTCTACAGCCTATATAAGTTACCCCCCCCCCCTCATTATACGTGTTCGCTCTCTCAGACACACAGCTTGCCTCTGTGTGTCCTATGTCTCATGTGGTGTCCCTCTGTGTGTTCCCTCGCTGTGTGATTCACGAGTCCTTGTCCTCTATGTGCATTGGCATGTTCAACCTAGAAGATGGATGCAATTTTTGCAATCTTTTGAAATATGTGATAAACCAGTTTTAGTGTTTAACTGTGTTGTTGGCCGACTCTGGGTTGCATCGCATTATTTTTCTAAGTTTGGCTAGGTTCACATCTCCCATCTTCTTGTTGTCTTTGCCTCCTTTCAGTTTGTCGTTCTCGGTGTGCTTTACCAACGTCCTCTTCCTCGATGTACATGTTTATGACTTTTCCCTGCCCCCTTCCCCCCTTTTCTACAGCCGATGTTCCCCCACTCAGTTTACGTGTTTCGCTCTCTCGCACACACGGCTTGCCTCTGTGTGTCCCTGTATCTCCATGTGTGTATGTCTCTTTGCGTGGTGTCCCTCTGTGTGGCCCTCTCTGTGTGATTATCACCCGATGACGGCTGCTTGTGTTGCAGTCGAAACGTCGTGATTGTTTTATTGTATTTCTACCTACGTGACTTTACCAAAAGAACCAAAGAGTATGATATTCCTGCAGTCACGAAAGCTTCAATTCTTAATTCATTAAGGCTCACATTGTTGAAGGCGAATTACAGATTTCCCTTCGCTTCATGCGAAGGAAAACTAAGCATCCTCCTGATAACCTTGAGCAATGAGAATGGCATGGATGCTAAATGTACTCATGATGGTATTTGATGATTTCATTGCCTCACAGCCCCCGCCAGTTATGGCGAATCGTGTTGTAGTGAAAATGCACAGTGGCGTTATCAGAGGCAGAGGAAGAAGGAGGCCTCAGTGCTGCAGACTCGTATCACTGTTTGGAAACCTTCACAGTCCACAGTTGCACTCGGGTCACACCGACCTGAATGTCATTTCACAATAGACCAGACATTCAATGAACAAAGGTGGCATTTCTTTCTCTTTCAGGGATCCATGACAGATGAAAAGGCCTCAATCTCGGTCAGATTCACCCACGCGAGAGCAGCGTTGGATGCGGAGGAGAAGGCGGCTTTAGAGCAAGCGGAGCAGAAAGGGCGCGAGCTGCTGACCCAGATCGAGAAGAAGATCACTCACTACCAGCGCGAGATCAGCGAGCTCCAGGCAGCAGCCACCCGCCTGCAGGCCCTAGCGCAGGAGAGGGACTCGCTCGCGTTCCTGCAGGTGAGCGATGAGTCTCCACTGTCGCTATTGGCACAGAGACCTCTCACCAGCAGCAGCAGAGGGAGGCTCCTGAATGAGAGCTCGCTTCCACTGGGCTTGAGAACACAGCTCCACTCATGGACTCGCATCGCAGCTCCAGTGGCTGCCATTTTGAAGGCCAGCTCATATTTTCTCAGTGAAATGAATTATCTCACTCGTCCTTTAACAGATTTCCATTAAGTTGGTTTCATTGTGATAATAATCTAAATGTTATTGGAATTGCACTTTTTTAATAAACCCTACAACAACAGCAACAAGAATGTACACGGTATTCATGATTATCATCAGCCATGATATATCCACTAATGGATGAAGGCCTCCCCAGGCCATTGCCACATCGCATGATGCCGCGATGCAACAATCCACCAGCGCCTGCTCACGAGCCGATGTCATCTGTGCTTCTTTCTTTGTGGACCTCCTCTTGGATGCGCTACCTTCATTGTTCATATTATGGGAACTTAAATAAATACGATTTCTCATACGCGTATTAATGATATCATTGTGTATTCACCACCACTTCTGTAAGACCTGCCACGTGTGCATTGACAGAAATTAATCTCAACACTGATTAATATCAACCGGTCTCACTCTGAAATATTTGCCCTGCAAATCAGTGTTGGTCCTCATGGGGGCTGCGAGATGTTAACTACCTCCCCTGGTATACCGAAGGTCGGGGATTTGATCCCAACCCTGACGTCCATATACATTTGGAGTTTTCGTGTCTCTTTCCATGGTCGCATGAATTTTTCTCCGAGTCCTCAAAAATTTGCCTTCACATTTGGAAACGTGCGTCTAGAGTATTGGGCTGCTATAAATTTCCAAGTGATGAACCACTTCGTTCAGCTATCAGTTGTGGCCAGGTCGCTTCTGAAAAAGAGCTACATCGCTTTGTGGGCCTTACGTGGAAAAACACAAATAGTAGTTTATAGTTGACTATCAACCGGTCTCACTCTGAAATATTTGCCTCGTAAATCAGTGTTGGTGATCATGGGGTCATAAGCCGAGACTTTGGGGTTTATAATTCCACCCACGGTGTTGCAGTGGGAACTCCACTCATCACAAGGGATTGGAGGTATAGTCACAGTAACGTATCTCTCTCTCTTCCACAGGGGCACCTGGAGGAGACGTGCAGGTAAAAGACGACTATCACTCACGACTCGACACACGACAACATGGGACTGAGTGTCGGGTGCGGGCAGTGAGACATTGGCTGTGTGGGGATGCTGTGTGTGGTGAACATGTGTGTGGTGATGCTGTGTGTTAGGGTTCTATGTGTGATGGTGCTGTACGTGATGATGCTATGTGTGGTGATAGTAATGCTGTGTGGTGATGATGCTGTGTGTTGAGTGGTTATGCTGTGTGTTGTGATGCTGTGTGTGGTGATGGTGTGTGTGGTGATGCTGTGCGGTGATGGTGTTGTGTGTTGAGTAGTTATGGTGTGTTGTGATGCTTTGTGTGGTGATGCTGTGTGGTGATGATGCTGTGTGATGATGCTGTGTTTATACTGTGTGTGGTTATGCTGTGTGTGGTAATAGTAATTCTGCGGGGTGATGCTGTAATTGTGAGATGAGTGATGATGCTTTGTTTGATGAGTGCCTGTGTGATGGAGCTGTGATGATCCTGTGAGTGACGATGCTCTGCGTGAGACAGTAGCCATGTTTGTTCTGCTTTCACAGGGCAGGGAGGGTTACAGCAGCTCCACCCTCATCTCCCAACCAAGAGGACATTGCCTCACTTAAAGTCCTGGAGACAAGGGGAGTCAAACTCCTGTGTGAGTTATTCAGTGTGAATCATGGGTGATGGGACTATCTTGACAATAAATGATCCCCGTGTGTGTACCTGGTGTTTTATAAACATCATCACTAGGGAGACAAATGCGACCAGGCGTAGTGCTGGCCACCCACCCCCTCGTTTTCCGTGCCAGCCTTCAACGGTGCTGATTTGCCCCAACAGTCTGTAAAGGCAACACGGGGGATGTCTTTGTTTACATCCTGAGACCTGATGTGGTGTGTAAACAAAATCACCACTAGGGAGACAAAGGTGGTCGGGCGTGTTACTGGCCACCCACCTCGTGTGCCATGCCAGCCTACATAGACTCTCAATGGACAGCATTTGTCCCAATAGTCTGTGAAGGCTACACAGACTATTGTTTTGTTCACATCCCATTCCAGGACCCTACTGAACAGAGCCACGAGACTCAGTGTGGTGTTCTTGTGTAAATAATCATCATTACGAGTCAGAGGTAATTGTGATGTTGAGATGGAGTGTGTGCCTGAGAATGTCTGTGCATTTGTGCATGGGGGAAGCGGTGGCATAGTCTATAGCACACTGCACTACGAAAGCAGTTACCCGTGTATGATTATAATTACCTGCCATGGCTAACACCAGTGGCAAGTGATATCTGATTCAGTCCTGGGCTTCTGCTAGGTAGTTCCAACTTCAAATGAGTTCCTGTTGCTGGTAATGGTCATAATGATGGCAATAGTGGTCGTGATGAGGATGATGGTAATGATGTTGATGTTCGTGATGTGAGTGATGGGAATGGTGATGGGATTGGTGATGGTGTTGGTCGTGGTGACGGTGTTGGTCGTGGTGATGGCAGCTATGGTCGTGGTGATGGCAGTGATGGTGACATTGGTGATAATATAGCTGGTAATGGCTTTGCTGATGGCGCTGATGGTAGTAGTGATGATGATATTGGTTAAGGTGGTCATGGTAGTGATGGTGGTGATGATGGTGTTGATGGTCGTTGTGATGGTTATGATGCTGATCATGTTGGTGATGTTGGTGATAGTGATGAAGATGGTGGTAATGGGGATAGTGGTGATGGAAATTTTGGTGATGGTCGGGAGGGGTGTTAGTGATGGTGGATGGTGCTAGTGGTGGTGATGATGGTTGTGATGTTCCTTATTGCGGTAGTGATGTTGATGTTCAGTGTTGATGATGGTGGTGATGGTGATGGTGATGTTTATGTTGTCATTGCTGATATTGATGGCGAGGATGGTTGGTGATGGTGATGTTTGTGATTGTATTGTTGATGGTGAAGATGATGGTTGGTAATGATAATGTTGATGGTGGTGATGGTGGATGATGGTGATCATGGTGTTCTGTAGTGATGTTGTCATCGCTGTTGTCACAGACGGACGCTCACCGACTCTGGACACAAACTCTGCTCATAACCAACTCCAGATCTCCTCGGATCTCAGGACGATGACAGCGGTCCATGCCTCCCAGGGTCGCCCCGATCACCCACACCGGTTTGATGGCTTTGCACAAGCCCTGTGCTGTGAGAGCTTCTCGTCGGGCCACCACTACTGGGAGGTGGACGTGGGGGACGCGCGGCGGTGTCGGGTTGGAGTCGCGTACGGGACGATCCCACGGAAAGGGCGTGATGCTGCACAGTTGCTGGGAGGGAGCGACGCGTCCTGGTGTTTAGAGATATGTGACGACAACTTCTCAGTGTTTCATGGTGGAGTGGAGACTGCACTATCGGTGATGGGGGCCCCCTCCCCCCGCAGAATCGGGCTTCACCTGCACTGGGAGGGGGGGCTCCTGGCGTTTTACCGCGCCGACTCCATGGAGGTGATCCACGAGGTTCGGCAGAGATTCTTGCAGCCTCTCTACCCTGCGATGTGTGTGGGGTATTTTAATGAACCATTGAAGATCATGGATCTGAGTCGTGCATCCTGAGGATGAGGAGAGATAGAAACCTAAAAAACCGAGACAGAAACCAAATAAACGGAGCAGAGGGTGGATGGTGAGGAGAGGGTGAAGTGAGGGTGAGGGGAAGGTGGAACAGAGTGTGAGGTAAGGTGATGGTGAGGGAAGAATGGAGGGGAAGGTGACGGGTGAGCATGGAGGGGTAAGGTGAGGGGGGAGGGTGAGGTTCAGGTTGGCGTGCGTGAGCGATGTCACCGGTGCAGTACAAATCGCAGGTTCGTGTGGCCGCTCCTTCGCCTGCAGTGCACGCTTGCATCACCACTCCTCCTCATCCCTGCGATTCACCATCATCAACATCATCACCATCATCACCAACATCATTACCCCATCATCATCACCACTGTCATCATCACCCCATCATCATCGCTACCATCAACACCATCAACACCATCAGCACCTTCTTCACCCCATCATCATCATCATCACCACTGTCATCATCACCCCATCATCATCACTACCATCAACACCATCAACACCATCTTCAACCCATCATCTTCACCACTGTCATCATCACCACCAGCAACACCACCACCATCATAATCACCATAGTCATCACTTCCATCATCATCGCCATCATCATCATTGCCAACAGCATCACCAACACAATATCGCCATCATGATCACCATCACCACCACCATCACTATCAACCACCATCACCAACATCATTACTATAAACACCACCAAAACCATCATAATCACCATCACCAACATCATTGTCACTATCATTACGACGATCACCACCATCATTACTATCATCACCACCATCACCATCATTATCACTATCAACACCACAATAATCATCACCATTATCACGTCCATCACCATCATCATAATCATTACTTAACATCACCACTATCATCATCATCATCATCACCATCATTATGACCATCATTACCATAACCATCATCACCACCATCAACATCATCAACACCATCATCACTGTCATCACCACCATCAAAACTACTATCAGCATCATCCATCATGCTCATCATCATAAATACCACGACTAACGCCACTTCTATCATCACCACCATCATCGCCACCATCATTATCATCACTATCAGCACCCATATCACCATCACCATTCTTACCACTACCACCATCACAATCATTACCATCATTACGATCATCAACATCAACACCACAAAAACTGCCATAATCATCAGCATTATCACATCAAAATCACGACCATCATAATCACTATCATCCTCACGGTTTAAAACCACCATCACCATCATTCCCACCATCATCCCTCATCACGACCATTACCACCATCTCCCTCATCACCATCATTACCCCCACCACTGTCATCATCACCACCGCCACCGTGATCATCACCATCATTACCATCATCAGCAGCAGCATCATCACCGCCCACATCACCACCACGATTATCACCATCACCATGCTTACTAAAATCATCACAACCATCACCACGATCATCATCACCATCACTACCATCATTACTACCATGATCAACACCACTACCATCATCACCATTTTACCATTATTACCACCACTACCACCATCATCATGGTAACGTCTTTGTAATGTCTTTGTAGTTGGGGCTGTTATTTTTGTTTATTGTTTTTAACCGGGGTGAGAAATCAAGACACCAATATAGAAGTCTCATTTGTAAGAGTGAGTGGAATGTGGAGTGAGTGCTTGGGTGAGTGAGTAGATGAGTAAGTAGATAAGTGACAGAGATGGTGGGTGATTTAATCATTGAGTGCATGATTGATTGGGTGAGATGGTGGGTGAGTGAGTGAGTGCATGGGTGAGTGAGATGGTGGGTGAGTGAGTTTATGAGTGGGTCAGTGGTTAAGTTAGTGAGCGAGAGGGTAGGTGAGTGCGTATAAGTAGCAATGTAAAAATTATCCAAGAAGAAGAGCTCCAGTGGCTTCCTAATAACGTAAGGAAAAGCATTCCAGACGGCCACAGAAGTAGCACCTCTAACAGCGCCACACAACACGATGACCCAATATTTTTCGATCTTGCAATGTGATTATAACCATTACTGTACGTATATGTTCATGAGTTTGCTGACTGGATTTCTGCCTGCCTGGCTTCTTGGCGGGCGGGCAAGTTGGCGTATTCGGTGGTGACGTCACGGCACGCATCTGCGGGAACACGTCACCACCACACCCCACAGCGTTGAGGCGGGTTCCTGCATGGTGCTAACGTCATAAAACTCCATCTCAATCCACCATTCACACCAGGGCGTGCATTCCACGCCAATGAGTGGAATGCTTTATCACGCTATCATATCATACTTAAATCACCATACTAGAAAACTACATTAGGAAAATTAATTTTGCTGGCTGGAGGGAGAGACGGAGGGACGGACATTCAGGTTCAAAGGCCGTGCGGGGTTGCTCGTGTTTGATTGGAAAATAAAAATGTTCAATAAAAAATTCGAAGGTAAAAAAACCACACAGCACGTGTTATTGTCTTGAGTATTAGTGGTTATACAAAGTGACTTTAACCTACAGACTATAGAAAGCAATACACGTACAGCGACTCGGACTAATTTGACGTGAGTTTGCGTGTGACCAGACCAGTACTCGCTGTATCTGATTCAATACAAATCCTCTTGTAGTGTGTGGTGCCGCCGCAGCGGAGCCGCTCCAGCGGAACCACGCCCACCACCGCGACGCCGTCACCGATGCCGCGGATTTCCCGCCACTCTCCCGGAGCCGGTGCCTTCTCAGACGTCCGCGTTTTGGCCACTGCACAGTCGTGATGCCGCTGCAGCAGAGCCGCTCTGCCGAGGCCGTGCCCACCGCCGCAAAGCCGCCACCCGGGGGATGTCGACGCCGACGCGGCGCACCCTCACCACCCCCTCCCCCCCCACTTCCCCCCACACGAACGTACAAACGCCCCACGTAGAGCCGGGAGGGGAGGTCACCCGGCTGATAGGTTTTTGTCCAGAAGTCCCTAGTGGGATTGAACTTCATGGTTTCCTGCGGCCGGGAAATTGGGCGATCTTCCCCCTGTAGCTGACATGCACTGCGGCGCCGCGACCTGATATTAAAGTTGCATGATCATGGCAAGGGCCATCGAACCACCGCGAGTGGAGCCTCACACACACACGCACGGGTCAGTGGACTGGTAGCGGGAGAACAGAGAGCGGACGTCGGTGAGATCACTGCAGCGACGTCACTCGAGCTGGGATCCGGGCATCGATAGGGTGGGAGAATCCGAGCCCCTGATTGGACGTGAGGCCAAGGGTCTGAAAGAGCAAAATTCCTTTGTTGTAGGTAGGATAAAAGGAGGGGGATTGGGGTAGAAAGGGGGTTCTTCTT